TTTTTTTTTTTTTTTTTGGTGATAAGACTGTCTGAAAACCGGTAGTTGGCAAGAACTTGTTCTACGAAGCCGTACAACTTGGTGATCATCAGTAAGGGTGTTCTTTTGTAGGTAGAGTCACTGTCCTTTTTGTTGTTGTTTTTTTTTTTTTTTTTTTTTTTTTTTTTTTTAGCTAGGTTAACACTTTGACAAAGGTTCATGTTAGTGAAAAAGATCATTTACTTTTCTTTTTCCAATTTTAGGACACAAACATAGCTCCCTTTGAGGCTTCTTCAAATCAAGTCTTCATAAAGTTTCATGCCGCGTATGCAACACTCCCATCAGCAATCCGCTTAACTTGGGACAGTTAAGTGTGGACGTCTTTATTCAGAACTCTGGATCTTCTGTGGGGGAATGAGACATGACCCAGGGAAGGGCTTTGCCATCCTGAATCATGGCTGTCTGGTGGTGCCACTGAGAATAATTTAAACTTTTATGTTTTTCACTGAAGTATGTATAGAGTTGATATTTGTAGATTTTTTTGAATTTAGATTGTAGCTTATTTTGTCTTAGTTATACATATCATTCTTAGTTCTAATATATTGAGCTGAAATTGTCTAAAATTCTAAAGGTTTGGAGATGATTATGATACATGTGACATAAAATTTTTGAACACTAAGGATAATATAGAAAGGTGATTTCTCACTGTGAATGCCAAATTAGGGGAAATAAACTATTGAATTATACCCAGTGATGTGTCAATACACTTTACTCATTAAAATGTAGCCTTTTGCTATGGGTTATACATAAATTTTCAAGTTGTATATTTATATTTTGATAAAGTGTATGAATCTTTCAGAATAGGACCTCTGAAGCCAAGCTGTCTGCATTTGGATTGAACTAATTCTCTTACTTAGTTAAGCGCTTACCTAATATGTCTGTGCTTTATTCTCTAGAAGTACCATTGTTGTCTAACCAAAGTTTAACAATATAGTATGCAAAATCATAAACAATTAAGCAGCACTTTTATAAAGTTTTCTGCTATCTTTACCAAAGCAAGAGGCTTTATAATAGACAGAAATCAAGTCTTATTAAGAACATGGGACCAAGTGAATGAATGAAACTGGAAAGTTACTTCAGCTTAATCTAATACTCAAATGTATGGAGTACAGTCACATAAATAAATTAATCTCACTTTAATTTTTTCTGTTTCTTTCCAGCCTGCAATATTATATATATATATGTATGTATGTGTGTGTGTGTGCGTGCGCATGTGTGTATATTTGGAAAGAACCATGGATGTGATGAATAACGTCACCTAACCCATAATCCACAGGTCCCTGCAGGCAGGAGCAATGGACTGAAACTATCAAGATGAAATTTCATAGGATTAGGCATCAGATCTCACCCTTCTATCTAAATAAATAACAAAGATATCAAATGTAGAGAAAGTTTAGTAACATATGAATACACATAGGAATGCTATCTAAATGCAAGATTAACATATGCAGTCATCAAAGTCATCAAACAGTAAAGTATGGAATAGTTGCACCACTCAAGTCTTAAATTCACTAGTCATTTTTAGTCTGAGAGACATGCATTTCAGGAGGCATAGTATAATATCCAGGAGGTGAGTAGTCAGTGTGGAAGAAAGCAACGTCAATATCATGTAATTTAAAACTGAAAGCTTAAAAAAGGGGTAAAAAAGGAAGCTCTCCAAAGCTTTCAAGTTTAAGTATTCAGGATATAGGCAGTGATTTTTAGTGAGCTAGGGGATGGACAATGGGTATACTTGGGGCAATGATATTTTTATGTACAATAAAAAGCAGTTTTTTTCTGGAAGGAAAAAAAGTCTACTCTCATTAGTAAGGCCCATCTCATTTCCTTTAGTTCTACTTTACATTTAGTTCACCCATTTGTAACTGTTTCTTGGACTTCTACTCTGACACTCTGATATGTATTAAGCACACTGAGGATAGAAGGATCAAGTCAGCTCCATCAAAGTCTGTCTTCCTCCTTCAAAAAGCCTACTTTCCAGCTCCATCTTGTCCGGGTACCTGAGCCACTCTCAAGGCAAAAATTTCCTTGAAAAAATTTTCCTTCTTTGATGAAATTCACAAAAAGCTATTTACACAGATTTAGTGCCCATGTGATAACTTTCTGCTTCCAAGTTGCATGACTGGGAAACTCCATTGTTTGCAATCAAAGCCTGAACAGAGCTAACAATCATCTAGTTAATAATAATACAAGCAGTGTCATTAATAAAACGTTGGACCACACAAAAAAACCCTGTTTCAGACCACCAGCGGAATAAAATATAAAGCCATAATATAAAAAATTTAACAGGAGCTCTTACTTGGAAGTTAATGGAAAACAAATTATTTTCTGCATGGGTCTGAAAACTCTAAACAAGTATAAATGTAAAGAAAAGGAAATATTTACTGTCAACCACTGATGATACCTGAACTGAGAAAGTCTCCATGTCACTTTCAAGCTCTCCCCCCCCCCCCAACAACTGAGAATGGAAATGTCAGTCACCCTATCTGAGAAGGAACTCAACTCCACCTCCTCCATGCCGTCCTTTCCTCATCTAGCAATCAAAGGGCAAATGTTTGGCATTGGAAGTGTCCCAGCACTACTTGTTCTCCATTCCGATAGAATTTTCCTTGTGATACCCATCCCTATCCCTACAACATCTGAGAAACCAGGATTGGGGGACAGTTGCCAGCCCTCGACCGCCTTACCTTTCTCCCTTCCTCTTTCCTGTCTCCCCAACTGGTCCTTAACAGGAAGAACAGTGTTTTTGCCCTTTAGTCTTGGAGATTAAGCCTAACCATCGGGAGCCAGAATCACCCTCATCTGGCCTTAAGAAAATGACTGGGATAGCTCACAGCTTTCTGGATACAGCGGACTCTGCTGTCATCTCAGACTTTTGAACTAGTTTAAGAGAAAAACGTGTTTTATTTATCTGGGTATATTCCCCTTCATATGACAGTTTCAGAATTGCAGGTTGGGTGCTAGGGGATACACAGACGACCATGGAGTCCTAAGTGATTCAGAAAATACAATTGCGGAGTAGGGTCTCGGCTTAGCCAGGCGTTTACTTCCACCGTCCCCAACACCCAGGCTCACCTATACTTCTCCCTCCCACCTCAACTTCCGGCTTCCGCCCATAGCAGCCTGAGACTCGGCCCGTGAACTGGGCCTGCGCCAGTGCTGGTGCGCACGCGCCGCTTCCACTCCGATCGGAAGCCCAAAGCCAGGGATTCCTGAAAGGGCGGAGAAACCTCAAGGCGGGGAGGAGTCGCGGAGCCGAATAACAGACATGATTGGCTGGCCGCAGGATACGCATTCCTTTGGGGGGCGGAGCCTCGCCCGAAGCGACTCTGACAGTATTTTCCTAATTTGGGAACGGTCGGATGCGGGCGGGGCGTGGGGCGGCGAGTGGCACTTAGTACGCCTGCGCCGAGTGCCGGGACAGGGCGTGTTCCTCGTTCTGGCTAGACCCGGTGCATCTCAACTCCCCAAGCGGTCCCCAGGAAGCCTGTTGTTCTCATTCCCAGCCTGTTAGGTGCTGCCCTCCGCGGTGAGTGTGTGTGGCTTTTCACTTGGATTTGCGTCGCTCCGCGGGTCCGGAGTGACACTGGACGCTCCGAACAGCCCTGTCCCCTCCCCCTCCCTGTCCCCGACCTCTGGCCACTGAAGCCCACTTTCCCGGGCTGGGGAAAAGCCGGGGACTCAGCCTGAGGTTCTCCACTTTCCAGCCCTGCTCCTTCCTCCCGTCGCCCACGTGTTTGTTGTTGTGGTTTGTTGCAGATTATGTCCAAGTCTCTGAAAAAGTTGGTGGAGGAGAGCCGGGAAAAGAACCAGCCGGAAGTGGACATGAGTGACCGGGGCATCTCCAACATGCTAGATGTCAATGGCTTGTGTAAGTTCTCGGGCAGGACCTTCCCCTCGGATGAGCGGGGAAGTTTTCCCCGTCCGTCACTGACGGACTGAGAAGTGATGGTAGTTTACAAACGTGCCTGTCAGTAAGCATCGATAGTCAGCAGCTTAGCCTGAAAGTTTGCAGTCGGAATTTGCTGGAAGACGAAGTCGAGAAGGAGGAGAGGAATCACACAGGCTGGTACTGCTGTGCCTCATCAGTTGTGCTCATTTCTGGCACCTGGGTGGATTTTCTGCTGCTTCCGAAATAGCCACTTTTATTTTTTAAATGTAAATTATTTGTGAATAATTTGTCCTAATGTTGTCTTTGGCCCTTGAACAAATGACACCCACAATTAGTGATACATGAGAAACGTTTTTGTGCTGGGAGTATTTTTAAACTTCGTGACTCGTTAGCTTTTCCTGGATCTTTAGCCTCCTAACTTGACTCAGGCGTGTCATCACCTCCTGTTGTGCTTCTTAACTGTCCCTCCTGCCTACCTCCAGTTTTCTCGCCCTTAAAGTTTAGTTACTGCTTCCAGCATTATTTTCCTGTAATGTTACTCTCTACTTGAAACCATGGATTGCAAACTGACCGCCGCAAAGCCAGGGGAGTGTGGTCAGTAATTAAATCCCATCGGAAGGGGGAAGCTGCCACACCTGCTGCTCAGATCCTAATCATGGTCAACACATGGAGACACTGGCCTCGTCTTGCCAGAATTTCTTTTAAATAAGCCAAGAATTCAGGTGACATTTCCTAACATTTAGAAGTTGGGAGTTGATTCCAGTATTCGAAAAATAATGCATAGGTGAAACAGACTTCTGTAGGCTGGATGTGGCTTTAATTTTCTCCCTGGAACACTTCTCACAGGTGTCTGTCACAATAGTAGCGCCCCATGTTCCTTGACTGACATCCAGGGCCTTTCTCTGAATCTGACCACAACCTGCTGCACCTCCTGTGTGTTCCACGCACTCGATGTCACAGCCACACTGAATGCCCTTCCCGAGCTGGGCATAGTGTCTTTAGCAAGCATTATGTACCTCCATTCTCCATCCTATTCTTCTTTAGCCTCAGTCCTTTTACTTCAAGGGTCAGCTCCAGTGTGGCAGCGTATGTGACTCCTTCTTTGTGTCAGGATGCCCTCCTCTGAAGGTGGACAGGCCCTGCTTTGTGCTCTTGTTACAAAGGGCAGTATGGCTCTTTGTTCTAGAAAGTCTCTCTTCCCTGG